CTGAAACTGAGCTTTCGTTCTGATTATCAAGATGCTTGATTTAGAACTGAACTTAACTACAAACCTCCTTCACATAGATCACATTTAATAATCTCAGCATAGTTGTGTACAGTGATGTTTTATTCATAATTCTATATGGAGAATGGAATTGGCCTTGCTTTCACTCTGCCATTTTACAGCAACCTCTCTCATTCATATCATATAGTGATGGAAATTTTGAAATGTGATAGTAACTGTGAAGTATGTCAGGCATCCTGCCTGCACCCTAACCCCTCTCTCCCCTATCACCCCAACCAATAAAAATACCAAATTTACACAATTCACACAAACAGAATAATAAGTGAATTTTTTATTCTGTTATTTAGTTAGGGTGGTCCAGGCCCAAATAGCTCTCATGGACAACAAAGCCAGGTAATGTCTATTATACATGTACATGTATATTCTACAGAAGATGTTATTGCACACAGAATTGAAGACTAAGAAGAGTAGTACACATCTGTACATATGAGAATGAAAAGGTTTTAAGTGACAAAATGTGGTGGTAATTCGACAGCTTCTTGTCACTATAGAAACAATTTCAACCCTTTTGAAATAAAGTAATTATTATTATTATTATTAAGCCAACAGTGAGGCTGATGTCCCCCGCCGAAATCCCCAAATATAGATGACACATATTAATTAATTGCACATTTATTTTTTTCAAACGTATCAAAGCAATCAAACTGATTATCAACTATACACTAAGTTACATCACTCTCTATCAGATAGAATCAAAGTTATCTTGTCCCAAAGCATCGACCAATGGAATTGCTTAGCTCTGTTTAGCTTTAGCTCCAAATGTTAATCATTGAACTCAGTCAAGACATTCACCTAAAGAACATCAACATCAAGTTTAAACATTCTACCTCCATTAAAAGCAGAGTTGTTATGTTCCAAAGTCTTGGCCAATCAAATTGCTTATCAATCCTTAGCCTAAGCAGAAAATTCTCATCATCAAACTTAGTCAAGGTAATGATATAATGAATCTATACTCGGAGTTTCATCATTCTCCCTTAATTAAAACCAAAGTTTCTGGCCCCAAAGCATCAACCAATCAGATTGCTTATCTCTGCTTACCCTAAGCAGAAAATGCTCATCTTCGAACTCCATCAAGGCATTCGCCTAATAAACACCTACATGTACACCAAATTTGAATGTTTTAGCTCAGTTAGAAGGAGAGTTATAGTGTTCCAAAGTCTTGGCCAATCAAATTGCTTATCGCTCTGCTTACCCTGAGCAGAAAATGCTCATTATCAAACTTAGTCACGGTAATGATGTAATGAAACTTTACACCAAGTTTCATCACTATCACTTAAAGATACATTATGGAGATTAGATAAAGAGCTGACAGTTCTCGCTATAATAGTTAAAAACTAGATAATGTAAAGGTAATTTGTTGAAAATTTCAGTCAAATTGGTCCACTATGAACCGAGATATTAGCTTTGTAAATTTCTGCCTATGTTAAAAAGCATAGTCTCGATTATCCATTGTTTTGATTTAATTATCAATAAGCGTCTGCAGCATATAGGATTCTAATCCAGTCGATATCGAAGGCTAGCCTTGACATCGAGAGTTGATTATGGTCTGGATAAGTTACTTAATGTCTAATTAATAATTTAGATAAGATTTTAGGCCTAAAGAAAGACCTGCGATAGGCAGATTTAGCTCTTGCATAAGCATCAACCAATCAAATTGCTTATCTCTGCTTACATTAAGCAGAAAATGCTCATCTTCTTACTCCAAACTCCATCAAGCAGGGCTCACACTGGCTTTCAATTTTTTTCCGCCAAGATGGATGATAATTTTTATATAAAAAAATGTTCATATTTTTTTCCGCCAACTGGAATATTTTATCTGCCAAAAATGTGTGATAAAAAAGACAACATCTAACGATTTTATGTCTCAGCTAGGCTTATTAATATTCTAAAACAATTATCGATTTATACAATATACAACAACTTTAAAAATCTGTCTGTACAAAATACATTAGCACAGTTTTGATTTAATCAGATCCTTTTTTGAATGACTTTAGTCTATTTGAACACCATACTGCACAATATATTTTCAGTATTTACACATCAGATCTCATTCAAGGATTGCCAATTTTCTATAAATTTATGTGTTGCGTGTACGGATGGACGGACAGACAGACAGACGAACCCATTTTAATAGTTACCTGCTTTCTTCGAAGGGGGGGGGGGACAAATATTGACATAGGCCCTTCAAGACTTATACTTATAAGCTAATTCATACAACACACAAAAAGGTAGCACCGCTGAAGAATATCATACTCTGTGTACTGATTTATACAATTACACATATCACAATGAGATGAATAAATATAAATAATATCAATAAAAATATGACTATGTATATGTCACAAGTACTTTGTAACAAGCCTTGAACTCTAACCATATAAACTTCAAACCGGAAATATTAGTGCATCATATTTTAAATAATACTTTGACTTTGTACTAATCAACACTCTATTTGTTTATACTTTTGTACTATAAGTTTATTTGTCAACACTTACTGTGATTCATACTAGGCCAAATTTATAACAGCATGTCATCTATAGTAGAATGAACAAAATCTTTTAAAATTTCTTCTTTTCTGATGTTCTTAAAATGTAGGAGGGTTGGATGACCGACTGATCTAATGTGTGTGGTTTAGATCATAAGATCTGTCATTAACTCCAGTGGCATGGTTTTGATCACATGCTTTTATGTGACAAGAAGTATGATTGTCTGCCGACTTCATCGGTTTTCTACAGGTAAATGTACCGTCTGATTACCGGTATTCAATGCAAGTTCCCTAATAAAAGTGACTTCGACATTTCCAAGCAGAATATTGGAACTTGTATTGCAGACATTAAAATTTGGATGAACAACAATTTTTTGAAACATAATGCAGATAAGACAGAGTATTTGGTTATTGGGTCTTTTCTTTAATTCTTTAAACTAGAAAAAGTTAAAGATACATTATGGGAGATTAGATAGAACTGGCAGTTCTCACTATAATAGTTAAAAACTATAGATAATGTAAAGGGAATTTACTGAAAATTTCAGTCAAATTGATCCACTCTGAACCAAGAATTTAGTGACTGAATTTTAGGTCTAGCCTCGATCATCATTACTAAAGTCGGTACGATAAAAAACATAGTCTCGATTATCTATTTTTTATTTAATCATCAATGAGCGTTGAAAGCAGATTGGATTCTAATCCAGTAAATATTGCAGGCTAGCGATGACATCGAGAGTTGATTATGGTCTGGATAAGTTAATTAATGTCTAATTAATAATTTAGATAACATTTCAGGCCTAAAGAAAGACCTGCAATAGGCAGATTTAGCTCTTGCATAATGTATATTTCAACTTTTATCTATCGATACAAGTTGGTGATAGTTGCATTGCCCCTTCTCAGCCAGCCACAAATAAGTTATTTTAATTTAAAGCGATAATTTTATATTTTCTAAGAAAGTCAAAACATAATTATTTCTATGTCTTTTGCTCAATGGGTTGTCAACTCACTATTATACGATCAAAGATATATTATTCTCCCACTTAAAAATCCTTTGACCCCGGAAATAATAACACAATTACCTCCCTTGTTTTTCCATTCCTCCCATGGAATAGCTATCTTCAAACGTTTGAATTTGAAGTTAAAAATGATATTTTTGAAAATTTCTCAACTGGCAATAGTGAATTATAGGATTAATCTTTAACAAGGTAGGACTGTTTATAGATACCATCTATTTTAAGGCTTTATTTTAATATAACTTAAAAATATGAAATTGCAACTTTAAAGCTACAATTTCATATTTTTAAGTTATATTTTTAAAATTTATTAAAATAAAGCCTTAAAATAGATGGTATCCATAAACCGTCCTACATTGTTAAAGAATTATCCTATTAATCCTATAATTCACTATTGCCAGCTGAGAAATTGGCAAAAATATCATTTTCAACTTCAAATTCCAACATATTTTGAAGGTAGCTAATGCATGGAGGCAATAGAAAAACAAGGGAGGTAATTGTGTTATTATTTCCTGTGTCAATGATTTTTAAGGGTCGGAAATAATGCCCATGGTCGTATAATAGTGAGTTGATAACCTACTGAGCAAAAGACATAGAAATAATTATGTTTTGACTTTCTTAGAAAATATGAAATTCTCGCTTTAAGAAACAAAGGAAAAATACGAATATTTGTCAGTGGATGCCACAAAAAGACTAATAAATTTGTAAGTTACTTCTCGCATAGAATAGATTCTTTTAATTCCGTCGTACAGTGTACTCCTCCAACAACTTGAAATTACAAAAGTTACAAAACTTGACTGCTCGCCTTATTTCTAGAACATCATACAGGGATCATTTCACACCTATTCTATAAATTACACTCGCTTCCTGTAATTTTAAGAATTGAATATAAGATTTTATAATTAGTTTTTAAATGTATAAATAATCTTTCCACCTACATACTGTAATCTTTTACGTTTTTATGAACCTCGTCAACAATTACAGTCTCCCAGTGATAATTTGCTACTTATTGAGAAAAATGCTAATCTCATCAGTTTCAACGAGAAGGCTTTGGAGGATGCGACTCCAAAACTATGGAATAAACTTTCTTATTCCTCAATGTGGTCATTTGATGTTGTCATTTAAAATTTCTCTTAAAACCCACTATTTCCATTGCCTTATATGATGTCCTATAGGCCTATGCAGCTGTGTATGGCATCAATTGCCTACAGTACAAGATTCTGATGACAGGGGCAATAACCCTGAAAATAACAGATGGTACAGGCTATAAATAAATCAGGCAAGAAACTTGAACAAAATTTTTTCAAAGGCTGGAGTCTATCAGAAGTGGAAGATACATTATTTCCAGTCATAAACAATGAGCTAATAATATGTGAGGTTCCGTCACCGTAAATTGAAATTATAACCATTCATTATATTCTCACCTATTATGGCTGTTACTATTATGGCGGGTGGATGATAGTAACCCGTCAGTTTCTCTGTACTCGTTAGACATTTCCTCAACTTGATTAACACTTGAAGAAGAAATACACCTGTGTCTTTTCCGTCTCGGAATTCTCGAGTCAAAAGACGATGAACAGTTTTCAACACCCGACCCCGAAGTTCGATTTTGAACACGAACGTCAACGCACCCGGTTGTTGCACACGGAACTCTGGCGATATTAGCAGACGATACTTCGTCACTATTAATTGAAATGTGTGATTGCATTTTGGTTTTATTTATAGTCCAGTCATTTTGTCATATCGCTGCCTTATCAAAACGTAAATTAATCAGTTTAAGACATTCGATACGCTTGTAAACAATCTTCTAGGCCTACTTCTTTTCATTGCTATCTGTGAGAGTAGTTTAGAGTAACCTGCCCTTTGTTTGAGAAAATTTTAGGCCATAATTTTCAATTATTTGTTTCTAGTAACATAAATATTCGTCTCAATTCTCTGACCCTGCAGTCTGTATGTTTTAAAAAAGGTTAAACAGAAATGAGAATTTCACAAACTTTTCATAGGCCTGTCATTCTACGAATTAACTATCCTTTTATTTCATGTCACATTGTCACGTCCCTTGTGAAGTGCCAGAAACTGGTATTCTATAGTATAGTAGGCCTATTAGTATTATAATTTTTAAAATCTTTTTTTTTTTTTCCGCAGCATAATTAAATATATAAATAAACATCCCGGAATCTATTTACTGAAATTTCGTAAAAAATTCCAATGTAAAATGTGAAAGAAGAGAACAAAATCGAAGAAAACGCCGTGTCACTCGTCACTGTCACGCGCAGCGGACGGAAAAACGATCATCATAAATATTTAGAACAGTGCTCTTTATATCATGTATTTAATTCTTTGTCGGAAATATGGAAATATTCAGGATTATAACAATATCGATAACATCCTCCATAGGGAAATACAAAATGTGAATTTTTATAATCGTTACTTATCCGGAAAATCTGCGTCCTATCCAAAGGGAGATAACTCCTGTTTTGCCCCTTTTAAGCGCGAAAGTCAGTCCACTTGAGATTGACCATAGAACTAGAACTATAATGAGTATCATTCATAATTCAGTCAGGGCTTGTCTTGTGTACATATGACAAGGATTCCGACCGGTAAGTTGCGGTTTCGATATCATCATTTATCATTAATAGGCCTACAGTTAATAACATGTAATAAAGGCTAACTGCATGGTCCGATCAAGTCTGTACCGCGAAACTAACTCCTCGTCTGTATCGATGTCGAGAGGGTTTAATCTATCCCTGAATATTCTCTCTCGTCGAAGTTGCCGATCCGCATAAACATTTAAAGTAACAAGGTGGCCATTTTGTCAAAGATACGTAAAAATTTCCAACTTACGACAAGGTTATAATGTTGCTGTAGACTTTACGATAAAAGTTACGAATTTCGTAAGTTAAGAATTTTAGTGAAACACGATTTCCATCGTAAGTTGCTTTGTGAAACCGTCCCCAAGGTCTGTGTATTTTGTTAATGCCTTCAGTGGTCACGACCGCACGTTTAACGCCAAAAACTGTCTATGGAAGCACAGCGAGGTAAAACCATAACGTCGTCGCCACGTTAGTTATTACCGCGACTTCATCTATCGCGGTAATGATTTCTATCTCGCAGTTGTGACGGGTTGCTGTAATATTTATAAAAAATATTTCATAATAGGCGTATTTAAATGAGGCGGTATTCACCCTGTTGTCACAGTCAAATTAATTCTTATATTGTCATTTCAGAATGCCACCTGCATTGAAAGATAGAAAATACAGAGAAAGATTAAAAGCTATCCAGAGGAATATGGAAGATATTTACAAAAAGAGAGAGAAAGAAAGACTGCCAAAGGAGAAAAGAAGTTGTGAAATTAAAATTAATTGATGACCTGAAGTCACGGGAACAGTGTTCCCAAAGAAAGAAATGGAAAGTTGCAATTACAAAATATCGAGAAAGAAATAAAAAAGCCAAGGTACGTCTTAACTTTTTTCAAAATCACACACACCTCCACTATCACCGACAGAGGATGGCCCCGGTAGTTGTAGAACCTAATACTAAAAGTAATAAAAGGCAAAGATCGGCCTGCTACGGAAAACTCGAAATGTTAAAAGAAGAAATGAAAAAAAAGAAGGAACAATACAGAGATATAGAAAACTAGACGACTGAATTTAAATTCTCAAAGCAAAACAGATAGCCCCGGCTCAAAAACAAGAAAGGTACTCTCGGATATAGATTCATCACACGTAAGCAAATGCTTACGATTTCATTTCACATTAACTGAGTTGATGAAATCAAGATAAAAAAAAAGCGAAAAGAAAACAATGCATTGCATATTTTACTTCGAGATGAAATGATGGAAAATTACAAATTAAACAAATTTGTAGAAGTGTAGAAGGTAAATGCGGCATTAAAATGACAGGTGCAAAACACTTACAGAAACCTACAAGAACGGCAATTGAATTGTCAAAGTAAGTAAAAGAATTTCTAATTAGAAAAAAGTATCAAATTTTTATTTGATACTCTGATTAATTTACATAAGTTTTTTTGTCGGAGAATTCAAGCAGAAACATCTCCTACTTTCTGTTTTGTCGGCTCAAGCCGTTCTGCATTATTGCGTCGAAAATATCTGATCGCTAAACTTGTTTGTGTATTGCACACAGCAACACGCAGTTGAAATTGGATGCACTGAAGCGTTCTGGGGCCATTTCTTCGAGTAAAATAGATGATTTGATAAATGAAGTATGTTGTGATGCAGAAATTAAAGACTGTAGTATGTACCAAAGTTGTTCGGCAATACTATATACCGGAAAACACAGGAAAACAACCGGAAAACATCGGAAAACACCCTAAATAGGTTACCCGGAGCCTGATCCTCTGTGTGCGGTTTTGGACAAAGTGAGCGCCGATGAAGGAAGGTCAAGGTCATTACGATGTTCGTTTTACAAATAGCCCCCCACCCCCCAAAAAAATTCCGATTTTTTTTTCTCCCAAATTTTATTGAACAAAAAAATTTTCTGTCACAAAAAAAAAAAATGGAATTTTTCCGAGAAATTGGTTTTACAAAAAAACATTTCGTAGAAAATAATTTTACAGAGAAAAATACTGGAAAAAAAATTTGAATTTTTTTTTGAGAGAAATTTAGGAGAAGAAATAGTTTAAAAAAATGTGAAAAGAAATTTTTCTTTGACCGTAGGCGATCGCTCGCTAGTATGTTAATGAACTTATTTCATCAGCGCTCACCTGGTCCAAAACCACACACGAGGACCAAACTCCGGGTTACTAAATAGCTACCGGAAAACTTAGAAGAGTAAACTGTGCCCGAGATTTTTTTAGAGAGCGCGCCGCTCCTGGAGGGATCATCGCCAGGGTGGGACGGGGGTGGAATTGTCCAGTCACGTGACGAACATAGATCTTCCGTTCCTCAACCCATATTATTTTCACAGTCATTGTCATTAATCACAAATTACGAGATGATATACGAAAATGCATGTTTACTTTTAAATAGTGCAAATGATACTTTTCCATCTACAATCTTCAGATCAAAGGATGCAAGTTCTTATACAGTGCAGCATAATTTGTGCAACAGAAGACATCTCGAATATCGATTGTCGGAAAAAACATTTTCTCGGGGACATTTTTTTCCGAATACGCATTTGGTGTAAGTCTTCAGCCACCAGGATGTGGTTAACATAGTAATGTTTTATTACGATAGTAGTACATAAAACAAATTGGTTGCCTGAGGTTCTCGGGGGGGAAAGTAGCCTCATCGGCTAGAGTCCTCTATTTCACAAACAAAAACAACAATAATTGCTTCCTTGAAAATTTATCGATCAACCCTTTTCAAAGACGCCCAGCTTAACACTTCCCGTCAATGCAGTAAGATAGAATATGTAGTTTTCTCATGGACAATTGGGCGAAAGTTGGGGTTTTCTCAAGGAAAACTGGTCAACAAGTTGGGGAAAAAAGTTCGAAAAGTAATCCAGAAAAAAATCATGTGTGAGGCCCTCGGAATTTGATGGAATATGTTGAATATTATTATGGTTCAAGTGATTATATTTGACCCTGGAATGAAAGTAAGCTCAGAAACAAGTAGATTTTTAGCCCTTCCAACGAGATGGATAGCTCTTGGAAAGGATAGACACTTTTCAGATTACAGCCTGTCCGAGAATTGCGTGGCATCCATTTCGTTTGGTGATTAGGGCACATAGCGGTTAAACCTGGAACTTCAACTCGAACTATTCAGAGATTTATTAACTCGCTTTTGATGATACTTGCTGTTTTATGATGCGATTTTTTGTTATCCAGGGAGGAGTTGGCCTAGTCGTGCCTTCCACTAATTCGTACCACCCCGATGCCAGCGTTACTGGTAAGAATCAGGAGACCGGCGCAACCGGCATATAATGGGGCCCTCCGAGGGCAGTGTTTAATCTACTGAAATACTGAAACACTGAAATCTACTGAAATTTACTGAAAACTAAAATTAAAATACAAAATAAAATATGGTCAATGATGGAGGTAGACTGATTGCGTCTTTTAAAACATTCAAAACATAAAAGCCATCCAAAATTTTGGAGAAAAAAAATCGGAAAGATTTAGAAAGATTCTGTAGACACATTTTTAATATAATGAATAACAATGATTGTTTAGTCCATTGGGTACTAGACCTAAAATCCGTGACCAATTTTCGGGGAAGTTGTTTTGAAGGTGGTTTCTATATGACAAAATCCTGTTGAAGCGATTAAGCTTGGGCGCCTCTCTCTAAAACGCTGGAGGAATCCGATAGAAGGCCAAATTCAAGATGGCGGCCAGATTTCTCGGGAAAATATAAAATTATTTAATATAGGCTTCTGAGGTGTCTATTTGTATGTTTTAAGGGTCTCTGAAACGAAATATCATAATCAAAAATCCATCATGCCACTAGTTTTGCCAATATGTCCGAACAATCCAAGATGGCCGCCATTTTTATCTGGAAAATAGTTCTGTCAACTACATGTATACGGTACCCAAGTTGTATGTTTTCGGGGTCGAGGTATTCAATTTTGATGAATTTGTATCGATATATGACAACCAGCAATAAGAGTGCAAGAAATGAAGGGACTCGTCGATATTTACAACCTGATATACTCTGTAATCAGTTGATTTTAATTTAATCAACGCTTGATAATTTATCCATGTAATATTTAATCACGCACGATAATCGACGTCAAATTATCCACTTAAAGTCAAAGTGTTACTCGTCAGAATCACAGTCACACGATTTAAAAGATCGATCCAGTTCTGATTATTCAGATTCAGATTGTTCCTCCAAAGTAGATTTTATGTCGGAGCCGTCATCACTTGCACAATCACTGCCATGAACAAGTAAG